TGTCTTGGAATTGTGATGAATTAATCACTAATGTGTCAACATATTGTTCGCAAAAAATGGCTTTGACCCATTTAGTAAGTCGTTTTCTAGAATGATTTGACTGAAGTGCCTCTCTGATTTTGAAATCGTACTGACGGGGTTTTTTTTGGGTTTTTTTGTGCTGTTTAGTATATTTCAGTTTTTCGGGCACAAACATCAGAGAATGGAGAATGCGACCATATATCATGGAAATATAATTGTATAGTTGTCTAATTAATTAAAAATAAACAACCATCACAGCCTTTTGGGAAATTCGTTTTAGTTAATGATTGATTCATTCGGGAGACAAAGAAAGTTTTCGGGAAAATAGGCTCCGACGCCCCCCCCCCCCTACGCCCATGTAGTCCCTTACCTGTTGCTCAGCCCGTTTCAGTTTGTTGAATCTATTGTTTTCCCTTCCATCCGAACGACTGGGCATTGTCCTTCCAGCCCCCTCCCATCCGTACCACTGACAGGGGATTACCGCACCGGGGTTGTCTTATATATGTACATCTTTAATTTTTTGTAAGTGTAGTAAATGTCTGACGTGCCAGAGGGAATCATCCACTAGCACTAGCTACACAACCATCATTGCTTGAATCCTGAGTGGTAAGTTATTCCTCAACAGTCCATGTAGGACATATTCCTGAAGCAATGGCCAGAGAAATCCCTCTATGGCCATTGCTGGATTGGCTTCTGATACTTGAGCTTTTGACGGAGTGTGTCTATTCTTCCCATTCAATCAAATCTATCCCAAGTACAGCAACATGACAGCCCTTCGTTTAATCTGGGGTCTTTTCTAAAACTTTGGACAGTGATTTAAGGTATTAAAAACGGTGAAAGTATTGTTCATCGTCAAACAGTATTGTTTACATTGTATTCGTTTTGATAGCTTCGTTTGTCACGCAATTAGTTTTTCTGCAATATTCTGCTATGCACTGGTTAATTGGGCATAATAAAATCGTGAGTCATGGCATAACGTTATGTAAACAAATTTGGTCCATCTTGTGTTAATATTTGGTCCAATTAAAGAGTAATAATATTGTTACGCAGTTAGCTGTTGGTTGTTAATCGGACTATTGACCAGTCATAATTTGGAACAGAAATTTGTTCCCTTCACAGCAGTGTTAAGTGGGATTAGGTATAATCAAACCAAACACTGTGAGGAGTATTATGTAGGACAGGCGTTCGTGAACGCCGTGAGACGTCAATACGTTGCGACTGACACCTCTATCTGTTTTCTTCAATCCCCTTTCTTCTTTACAATCAATAAAAATACGTATATATTGAGGATGTCGAGAAGTAAAATGCGAACATATTTAATTACACTAAAAGGATTGGTCGAACAAAGGAAAGAAAGAAATTTCATGTACACACGTGTATTTATTAAAGATACATTATGGGAGATTTTAATAGAGAGTTGGCCAATATTGCTATAACTGTTCAAAAATAGATGATGAAAGAAGAATATATTGAAAATTTCAGTCAAATTACTTTATTCTGAACAAAGTTATCACCATTGTAATTTTTGACTAAAAATAGGAGTCAACCCACTCTTCACCGTCTCCGAGAATGGCCGATCGTTTGATTGACAGGCGTTAACTCCACCTACATAATCTCGATTATCAAGTAACGTTTTCAATGGCTGTGGTGCCGTTAGCATATTCGGTTTGAGACGGGGTTGCAATTCAATTCGTATCACATTTGTTTTTTACTACAAATTAAAAATAAGACTTTTAATATATAGATCAGAAGCGAAAGTTTGAAAGGAATGGACCAAATCAATGAGGCATAATTATAGCCGACTTCTTGTTAGCCTGCGTGTACTCTTCTACTGTAACAGGTCGGCCTACGTAACTCCCGAAGCAGACAAATAGGAAACAGTGATCCAATGGGGTGATGTTAGCTGTGATGTTTATCAATTTCCATAATTTTTCTGTAAACGCAAGTGACAAAGAGAGTATAATACCGACATCCAAACTCTCATTTTAACCACGACTAAACATAATATCAAGGCCGTATTATATATCGAACTTTCAATCAAATTGACTGACATGCGGCCTCGCTCAACAGCGGCCTCGCTTTGTACACTCTATCATTTAGCCTCGATCTAAAATTTCCGGGAGTATTAATCAATCAATGAAATCTCGTTTAAATCCAAGCCGAATCCCAGCCATCCGTGGGTCTCCAGAGTTAATTTTGTGCTTGTTGTGTGAATAAAGATCTAATTTATAATTTCTATGACATCTGAAGCCTAAATAAAAACTTGCGATAATCAGATCCTGCATAATGTATGTTTAATGTATTGTTGTGTGTGTCTTTGTGGTGAATAAATTTCTAAATTTCTAAATAATTTGGTCGAACGAAGGAAAGAAAGAAATTTCATGTACACACGTGTATATATTAATGTATTGTTGTGTGTGTATTTGTGGTGAATACATTTCTAAATTTAAAATTAAATATAAAAGGAAAGGTGTGTCTCATAATAGCCTTTTTAGGGCAGGTGAACACATTGTTAAAGAGAACATTTTATGTCAACAAATCGTTCACCTACTTTCGATTTATTCAAGTCGAGATTTGTTGAAAATTTGAGGAAGGGGAACTCCCCACCAGCATATTCCCCCTATTTTTAAACAATGAGCGAAAGAAAAATTGTTAATTTGTTTTTAGACAATAATTAGTTCTCCTCAATACCCCATAATCCTGTGCCTCGTTTTTCGGACTTCGTTTAATACACTTAAACGATAGAAATACTTATCTATCAGTCAAATGCGGCAAATCAGACGCAATTGTCAATTGTCAATATACGCCTTTTGTTAGGGTTCCGGCTTGGGTGAATGTTATTCATGTCAAATTTGCCCCCCCCCCCCAAAAAAAAAAAAAATAGATTCCCAATGAAAAATTCTGTTCATGGTAATCTCGGAATACGTTTTTGATTTTGGTGAAAATAAAGAGCGGGTCTGTGATTTCCATCCTGGATTCATCTTGTCAGATAGAATCGTTCGGACGTTACGAAAAACCGAGGCGTACATGTTGGCGTACATGTATCAGCACTAGTGACAGTTGAAATTCTTTCAAAACTTGGAGAAAACGCTGCTCGCCGAGCAAAGTTGCCGATATTAAGCCATTTGGGACAGAAAGTAAGACATTAGACCCCATATCATCTCAGCATTGGCTTTACCTACAGATGCGAAATTTTCAATGAAGACAAAATCAATCCTCATTACAAATCATCAAATCTAATAAATCTAATAAAAATTTCATTTTTGACCCAAGTCTAAAGGTTTGGTCATTTTGAAGAACGTCAAAAAAAAAAACGACGTTATTTTTGCCAGTCAATAACTATCGTAAGTGAAAATAGTGTCGTCTAGCCAAATGGAAACACATAATAAAAAGAACAACAGGAGCACATTGACCTCAAAATTGCACAATAGACTAAAAGATACGACGTCAATTTTATGTCATGACTCAGGTTTTCTTTTGAATTACGAGAGGGAATATGACAAACCATAATCATCTATGAACATTTAATACTAATGGCGACGTTCCTTTATTGTATTGTTATTCGTAAAGATTAGCAAATCAATAAGTTATGTGACCTATATTTAATATGTATACTATAGTGTTCATCTCTATGCAATGACATTATTTATGAATAGCCCCAAGAATGTTAAAATGTTATCAAACCAGTGTTTGTGAATCGATTTTATTCAGTTTATCGAAAACTCATTAATAGTTTTATGTACGACTAAATATACAACTTTTAATATCTGCTAAAATGTACACCTATTTCTATTATTTTTATTTGCATTTTACTTCGTTTCAGCATATTTATATCTTCCCTCGGATTTGCTTAATTTAATTTTTCTGGGTTGTTTATGTCCTGCTTTGTTTAATATAAATAAAATTTAATCTAGAAGAATGGTCAAATCTCTGATGTTAGACTGACATAAGACTAATAATATGTACTACTAAATCTAATATAGAAGAAGAAACTTAAACACACATTATGCAAGAGCTAAATATGCCTATTTCAGGTCTTTCTTACAGTTCAGTTCAGTTCTTTATTAACTTTGAGTATAAAACTCATCAGTAAACATATAAATACAATATTTACATAATCTACAGTATGTACAATATTATAACAAAGTATATAAGTTGGGAGTGGAAATTTAAATTATATATCTACTATAATGTCATCAAAAATAGTAATTTGTTATTGCAGTTAATTATACTAAACATCATTTAAGTTATAATCATTTAGGCTTTCTATATCCCTTTTAATTACATTATATTTTTTTTTAACAATTCTGATCGACGCTTATCGGCATATGACAAATATTTACCTAGTTTATACAAGTCTTTTATATTACAGGTACTTAGTAACTGAAAGAATTTAAAAACGTTAGGTCTAGTGTGAAATTCACTTTCTATATATAATTTATGGGCTGTTAAGCGTAGACGAGTTAAGTGTTTTAATAATATTGGCTTTATAGGCTTTAAAAGATAGGGTTGGAGAGTAAAACTTAAAACAACATGTTGATAATAGATTCCTTTAGCAGACTGGCAGATATTGCTATAACAAGACTGTTTAAAGATATCAGATATTCTCTGTTTAAAAATGAAGCCTGAAATGTTATCTAAATTATTAATTAAATATAAATTAATTTATCCAGATCATAATCAACTCTCGGTGGCATCTCTAGCCTGTGATGTTTATTGGATTAGGTTCCGATTTGCTGTTCGACTTCCATTCATAATTTAATCATGAAATGGATAATCGCGACTATGTTTTCTACCCTACCGACTTTAGTAATGATGATCGAGGCTAGGCCGAAAATTCAATCACTAAAATCTCGGTTCAGAGTGGATCAATTCGACTGAAATTTTCAGCAAATTAAAATGAAGCCATACATTAAAATTCCTTTCATATTGACCAACGGAATTTAAATAAAATTAATATCTCAAAAATAAATACATACGACTGGAAGAAACAATATGATATCCACACACAAAAATCAATATAAAAAACAGGTTCTTATCCATTTTAAAATCTGTTTTATGTTATATTTGTTCTCTACTTTGAGTCATTGCTATCCAACTGTTACCCAGTAATCTATATTGAAATAGTAATAGCTCGGTTTTCATTCAACTATTTTATATTGTATATCCGATTTAAATAATAATACATGCTTCACTGAGATTTATATAAAGAGTGTCGTATTGGGGGAAAACGAAAATATAATTGTTCACTCTGGCAAAAGCCAGATTAAAGTGTGAATAAAACTCGGCAGTCACATATTACTACTTTTAATAAGAAACTAAATTAAATTAGTTTTATATAAATCATATTCAAGAAGTCAACTTATTATCAAAATATAAGGCCTGACCTACTTAGAACAAAGCACGAGATAAGTCGATAGGTATTAAAATCAATCCGGGTTAAAGAGAGTTTAAAGTAGGGGTATGGTAACAGGGGTAGTAACGCTGAATTTCGGAATAGAGTTTCTCCTTATGAGTAGCCGAACAATTACAACACATTTGACAGTCAAAGTGGCAAATAATCCAATCCCATATTAAAATTTAAACTTTTTACGTACAGATATATTTGAATTGAAAGGCAACAGTGTGGTTTTTATTTGCATCCATATTTGACATCTGAGAAACAACTAAATTGTTATGCAAAACATTTTAGTGAATATGAAAAAGATTTAACAATTCTCACAAAATTGCTACTATGCCTACTATGTGATAAAGAGGTTAAATTGCAATTAACGCTTGAATATTTGGAATTCATCATTTAATTTTTGGTATTTGTAACATGCAGATGGCAAAAAAGAGAATACTCTGGCATATGCAATATAGTATCAGACAGCAAACACGTTAGCAAAATCTCTAGTGTAAGTTATTAGTTTCGGGTCCGATTGGACCCCATGTTCCTGTCCAGCGTTAGGCCTGATTTTCATGTAACATAACTCTGCATGTGGGAAGCCAATGAATACTGATCTCTTCGCTACGTGTAAAAATGTATACGAGACAAAGTCACTTAATTTCGGAAAACAGTCCACGGAGACCCTACATGCACCGACAACGGTTAAAAAATAAAATCTCAAAACCACTGATCATGAAGTACTGCTTTACATTACAGATAAAAGCGTATTTAAAGCGCAATTCAAAGGAAATCATCTTGACCAATTGATATTTATATATGGCATGTAATAATAATCTGATGTGCACGATTTTGACAGGACATTTTAAGCAAGCAAACAAAAGGAAAAACAAAAACCCTGACCATCAGAGGCCAAAATATCAAAATGAAAATGTTTTCATCACATAAGCTATCCGGATTTTTTCAATATCCAAAATCATTTTGCTGGATTCAAACGGAAGAGACGAGGGTGGATGGGACCCCACGGCACGAAGGCCCGGGCAGGTGGCTTATAGTTGATTTGATTTATTTACTTATTCAAAATCACTTATCTACTTATTTGTACCATAACTAAACTAATGTAATTAGTTTCAGTCTGTATCATATGTATACACCCAAACCAGAAGAAAGCAAATGAATATAAGCCTACTTGGCTTGTTTTCGTATCCTATTATTTCTGCCTTTATATTGTATAATATTCTCGAAATAAATACTGTTTAAAACAAAGGTTAGGAAAGCGGACTTGCGACGAAAATGGCCCAGGTTGGAATCCGGTTGTGAGACTGGGAAGATGGGAAGAGAAGTACCTTCGGAGTTCTTCCAAGTCTGGTGTTCACTTGTCGGGGGTAGCGCCTTCAAGGTTGGCAAGAGAAGCGTACGAAGTCGTTCGAGTCGGACGAAACCCCGATGTTCACAGGTGTACACACGGGCGTACACGTGGAAGATCCTTGACAGCTGGAATTCAAAGCAGACTAGAAATAAATGCTGATGAAAAATGGTCAGCCAGTACGACAAATACAAACTGATACTGGTCTCTCTCTCTCTCTCTCTCTCTCTCTCTCTCTCTCTCTCTCTCTCTCAGTTAATTCACGAGATCAAAATGTTCTGAGCGGGGTTTTGATGGATAAACTAGTTTTAATATGTTTTTAGTCCAAATATATCAGCAAATCACACATTTTTTACCACTCGGCAAACCTCAGCAGATTCCAGTACCCTACATCTAGCCTCGGCTGTATGACGAAGTCCGCCATTGGAACTACTTTCAAGTTCCTGGATTACCAACGGCGATTCCCATGAAGACGCCTTGAAGAATGTTTATCATACAAATATTTCAAAGTTTGAAGCTTCTATTTTTCTTTCATCAAACAAGGACAACTCTGCACTGAAAATAATTCTAAACCCGCTTCGAACGACGCAATTTCGATAACTTCTTTTTAAAAGCGGCAAGTTTTTCTAACAAGTAAACCGGTGCATACACTGGTATGACTTACCGTCATACAGCCGAGGCTAGATGTAGGGTACTGGAATCTGGTGAGGTTTGTCGAGTGAGTTTGTACATGGGAAGACATCTTTAAGGGCTGTGAGTAGCCTAAGATACGCACCCACTTTTCAACACCAATCTTATTAAGACTTTGCACATTTGTTGCATGTTTAAAATAACGCAGAAGACACAATCATAACAGTCCGAATACTTACATTTTGAATGTATAAAATGATTTTGAGAGCGGCGGAGTAGTGCACGGAAGTAAATATTTACATCCGAAATGTTGTATTTTAAAACTTGTTGCGTACGTATTAAAAGAATTTACTGGAAATCACAAAGTCTCGTTTGAAGCTAAATAATGAACATGGACAAAGATTTTAAAATACTTTGAGTGATATTTAATAACGTTTTTTGTGTCGAAATGTGGCTTATATCCTCCACTTTCGACCCAAGAAGGGGATAATCGATATCTCTTTTTAGCATTTACTAACAGAATTTCAAAGAAAACTAATCGGGTTTTTTTTTTGCGTGTCCATGGATACCAGACAAACCACAGCATATAGCCAAAAATTGTTCCGTGGCTTTTTGGAATTGCAATTAGCATTGTTCATTCCAAATTTGATGCAGATCCATGCAGCGCATAACTGAGAAAATTCGACTTTTTTTGTCGTCAGCACCCTTTATTATCATACTTTTGGGCTAAGTTTGGAAAATAGTTGGTAAATAAAATTGGTATTTTGGGGGGTGATTAATATGTAGTTTACCACCCCAAATAACAAGATATGTCATATCTTAGGAACAAAAACTGTAGTACTAGTTTTTAAATGTGCTCAATGGGTGACCATAAACTGTTGATATATGTGGTTGTATATCACTTCTCGGTGGGGTATGGGTCCTGTAATAAAATTGAATGCTTTTAAAATGCAAGTTCACAAACTGTTGGACCATTTTCATTGTATCTTCAGATCAAACAAGACACTCGGCGTATATACACAGTGATTTACACTGGTTGTAGATTTTATGTCGCCATTTTAAAAGGTCTGATTGAAACATTCACAATATTCCCGAAAGAGGTAAAAAAATACATGCACTACATGTTTTAAAATGTAACACCTGTTTTAAATATAATATTTACTCACATGCATGTCTGCTCTCTTTACAACAACAGCAATAGCAAATGATTACAGTTATAATAAACAAAGCAATCCCAGATGTAACGCCGATAATTACCTAAAACGGAAAAAAAAGAATTAAGGTGTTTTTATTTAATACTATTTCCAAATGTATTATAATTCTTACACAGCAGTATACAAAATGATTCATATTTTAGTACCAAAGCGACCTAGTTCGTTCGAGTGGACGTTAAACCCCATTTCTCTTAATATATTTTCTGTTTAAATAAAGGGACAGGTCCACGTAGTAGGGCATATTATTTTATTATTTTTAGCGAAATGTGTATTTATGCTGGCGAAAGGGTCAAGACAGTAAATCGGTTGTCGTGTCGACTTTGGTGGACTTTAACAGACACTCTATAAAATATTCAGACAATCATACCTCAATATCCAAATGTGATTCGTCATATTGAACTGGCTATAAAATGAAATAGCCTTGACCATTAATGCAAAAATTATAGCTTTTCTTGTTCCTTGATTTCAAGCAATCTAGAGTTTTTCAGCCCTTAACCTATACTACTTTTGGGGTTAAACCTTCTGCCCGAGATAACCCCAACATACTGTTAATTGGATGAGACGATTTACCCAATACTACAAAAAACCATCAAAATATAACCACATACTACCGAATACTACAACATAATAATGCAAAATGGGCATATTGCTTGATTGTTTTTTTAAAAATAGTGCGTTATATCGCGGAAAATGTACTTCAAATGCGATAACCGATTTCTGGCTGTTCCATTTCAAATAGCAGCTCATCAGTAAAATTACATAACAAGGCTTAACAAATACTACCAAATACTACCCAATGTTTCAAATACAAACCTAATATCGTCAAATAGCAGCACATAAATATAATAATTGCAACGAATATTCGATAATTTGCAGAAAAATTTGAAATATTTACGCAGTTATCTCCCTTTACAACCGATCCGGTCTCAGACTAGCAATTGTTTGCCCATTAACTTCAATGTTAAATAGCTGTAACATCCCAGGCTGTAGCTTTTTGCTCAACATTCCGTTGGTTCCAATCTTTATATAGGCACATAGGAGACCTCATTTGCCAATCTTCTCATCATAATTTTTTTTTAGGGGGTTGAACGTTTACATCTTTTGCTACGGGGATTTGATACTGATGACTAGAATCAAAATCTTACTTCCGACACAATGATTGCTCTGCAGACAAACCTTTACACCGCCTATCCCTCCGCTGTAATATCATCAGTATTACCCAAAACTGCTATGAAATTTGAAATTCGATCCTTCTTCTCCAATTCTAGACCAAAAAGTTAACCAAAAAATGCAGGAAAGGGGGAGAAAAAAATAACCACATTCGTGAAATAACAGGGAAAAATTACCTGTTCCAATCCATGTTATATAGATTTTAGATTAATCATCTTGTTGGGCTTTGCAGTTGGTTTCCAAGACGACGAAGTTAAAATAAGGAAAACAGGTTATTATAGATGCCCCGATATAGTTTATTCGGGGCCATTTCGGAACTAACATATGGTTCAATCTTATTTCAATAATTCACTTCCGCGTAGGGGTC